TCTACTTGTCTGTGTTTGCGCCAATCTAGACAGGCTCACCGCCTGTGGGTTAGTGGTTAGTGCAGTCAACAGTATTACTTAAGTGAGTCATTTGAATCATTCACTCAACGAGTTTGTTCAAATACACCGATTTAAAGGGGTTATGAACTGAGCTTTTGACATCTAAGAGGTCTTCATATTATAAGAATATCCTGTAAGTTTCAAAACTGAAAACGTCCTTGTTAGTCCAATAAGCTTTTATTGACACCAGGCTCAGCAAACGACTCGTTTTTCAAAGTGGGGAACTATGACGGCAAAGATCGAGCTACCGAGCAATACAAAATATTGTGCAGCGCCTGGTTGTGGAAGAAGACAGTCGCTGCATAAGCTTCCTCTTGATTCCAATAGGACTGCATGGATAAACTTTTAATGACGTTCCAGCTGATGAGGTAAAACATTGTCCGTCCGTTCGCTTCATTTCACTGAGGATTGTTTTGTCAACAAGACTGGATTTGCAGACCGATTAAGAGTAAAGAACAGTGCTGTGCCATCTATATTGGATCTGACAGGAATGGTGCAACACACCGACTCTGGGTCGAACATGTATGGGCGAATCATTCCGGTTGCCATTTTACAACATTGGACGTTTTCAAAACAATTCCCCCCAAAGTGCATCGACGGGTAAGTGGAAACTCATTAAAATATGCAAAACTGTTATCCACTCACAGCAGTGGGCGTTTACTTCCAAGTCTTCAGTGCGAGACGCCCATAAAAACCGAGCGTTTTTCAGCTAGGCTCAAAACTAGGGTACAAAATAGCCTATTACTTATTCATTTTGTTGTTTCTGAATGCAAAAACCAAGCGAACGAATGTTGACCTCAGCTCAGACAACAAATGCCAGTTCATGACCCCTTTAAGAACAAAATATGTGACTTGACTGAGTCACTGAGTTATTTAGTCAACCAAATCATTCAAAAACACAGATTCATTGAAAAACAAAACAGCCATTGATCCTGTTTGGAACCGTTTTTATTGGGAAATGTTGCACCTACTTAGTATCATCTTCCTGTTTACTGATATTGTAAAAGCAATCTCAAACTCACAATCATGCTCTTGGATTTTATATGATCTTTAACGCCATTGGTGGAAATCGTGTTTTCACTGTTATACGGTAGGGGGCGCTATTACACATCTTCTGAAAGAGTACAGAATCTCTGGATCAAAACACAGGCAAAGAAGAAGCAGAAACAAGTAATGAAATATGTTAATTAATCAGATGCATATGTAAAATAACGCGATCATCAGCATTAAACAGAATATTAAAACTCTGTAATGTTACTGATTGAATTGTCGACCCAGCCAGGACAAGGTATAGGACTGTGGAACCTTTGGGGGAGTTGATGGACTCGATCTACTCAATCTGTGTTTTGGTAATCGTTTTGAATCCAATCTGGATGTAGTCTATGACAATTTTTTTTTTGGTCTGTTTCAAAGCAATCTATGTTCTTTGTTTAACCCTTATGCTGCATTAGGGACATTTTTGGTCTTTTGCAGTTTAATTTCTTTGACCATTTTGGCTGTTTTAATGCAAATGGTATGAAATTTGGCAAAATTGTGACTTTTTGGATACATGTAAAAAATGTGATCCCATTTTGCAAAATATGTATAACACACACTGTGTAGATCAAATAGTAACACTCAGCACCATAAAGACCAAAAATGGCCCATTGAAACCCATTGAAACCCATTAAAACGTTGTTTAAATCTGAGGCTGTCAGTAATACATGAAACATGATTTTTGCACAAACATCCTTTCATTTTGAAGCAAAAGCATTATATTTGCATTATATAGTGTATTCCACCAGATGACGTCACTACATATTCATTCCCTATGGGTGGAAATGCACCTTATTTTAGGCAATAGGCAATGTTTAATAGGTGGCCATTTTTGGTCTCTAACGGGCTAAGTGGGATTTTTTGCAAAGTGGGACTGTGATAATCCAAATCTAAAGTTTTCTCTTTGCATTTAGTTTATTGAAAATAATTGAATTTTTGTGTTTTTTCCTCTTATACAAATCGATGGTTTCGCAAACAAAACTGGTAATTAAAGGGTTAAAATCCTGAAATTGAATACATTTTTGGTAGTTATGATGAGGACTGATGCTGGTTAAAAGATTTAACTTGGTAAAAGTGGAAAATAATAATAATATATAATATTTTAGGCAATGTTTAATATGTGGCCATTTTTGGTCCTTAATGCACTCAACGGTGTTAAAAATCTAATGCAGCACAAGGGTTAAATATACTGCATGCTCAGATATCCAAACAACAAAATATTATGGGGGCTATTAAACTTGTGAAAATGATCAAAAATGGCTGGCAAAAAAAAAAAAAAAAAACGCTGGTGGGGAAAGAGTTAAGATACATACTAAACAACCTACACAGTACAATGACATGGGAGATGTACTTAAAGTTACGGATGTAGCACACACACATTTTCAAGGCTGTTTCCCATTTCAGAGGGTTCTTTATATGAGATGTCAGGAGCTCCAGATCTTCAAGGGCAAATGTAACCACGTCAGCTGCTTACACCATCATACCTTACTTCAAACATGTTGCACAAATAATTTTCAAGGACTTTCTGCACTCAGGACGCATGCCAGCGGATTAACGCCGTGCAAAGCTCACGCCGTTTTGATGCCAACAAGGTGGATTACATTATGCTTTCATAGAAAATGACAATGAGCAAAACATGTTTAAAAATCACACCAGTTTTCATGGGGATTCCACAATTAGGATCACGACCCAAGTTTCCTCAAGCGTTCAATGATTTTTCTATTTTACAGAAACGGGAACAAATCTGTGAAACATCAGTTCATATTTATGAGTTGTTAGTCAATATGTCGAGTTTAGCAGTTCACCGTCTTCCAATTGTTAACCAGAGTTAGTTCCAGTCCAAACTTGCACCATTGTAGGCAGAAGTGGACTTCTTTTTTTCTTTCTTTCTTTTTAACTGAGGTTGTGAAGAATACGATCACAGCTTGATCCATAGGTTCTCTTCAAGTCTTGGGATCTAATTTTCAAACCCATGTTTTCTGACATTTTCCTGTGTAGTTCAGGTTACATAATCTGTGCTCCTTTGTACTTTTCTCGCACTGATCTGATGTAGACCTTTACAGTGCGAGAGACACTTTGAGATAATTATTCAAACGCACACGCGGTGCAGACTGGCCATTCATTGTGCTGTTATTCTCTTTGTCCTTGGCTGGGAGTTCACTGGGCCATTGTGTCAGACAAATCTAAAAATAGGTCTGCCGGCATGAAACCAGCAGCCGCCTGGGGCTTTTAAACAACATTACCTCAGTCATCAAACCCCTGCGGGAAACCTATCATGACAGCACCAGAGACTGCAGCTCCACTCGTTTAAATACCCATGCAGCGTCTTCTAGAAACACTAAGAGCTTTTTATGAGGGCGGCAGGGCTGGATGACTATTTTTAGGAAATGGATGGTAACTGGAATTCTTTTTGCTATTTGAAGATCCTCATAAATCATTAGAGCCTTGTGGATATTTTCACGGATCACTGAGGGAAGGACAAAATCGCAACTTTAAGGAATAGTTTATCAAAATTAAATTAGTCACCCTTATGTTCCTCCAACCCATATGACAAATGTTTCCTACTTGGCGAGTGAAGTTCCATATCATTCCAATGGTTCCCATGTATTTTGTAAGAGCAACGTGAACATTAAAGTCCCTGTGAACCGGAAGTTGCAACTGACTTCAGTGTTATGCTCCAATTCTTGTTCACTACTGCGTGTAATGTGTTTTGTGGCCTTATTTCAGAAACTTTCATTTTTAGTTTTTTCAATAACCATGCATAAACAATATTCTCTCAAAAATACAAACATGTACATACACGTTGCTCACATATTACGGCAGCCCTGTTTGTGCTAAATAGGGTGTAATTTCACCTGTGCCATTAACATGTTTATTAGCAACTGAAAAAAGTATTTCAGAACATCTCAAGGACCCCAAATACACCCTGGTAGAAAAAAGAAAGTCATTCAGGTTTAGAACGACATGAGGATGAATAATTAACTTTCTTTTTCGGTGAAACATTTCTTTAATAAGAGGTAAAAGGTTTTTACAAAATAATGTCAATTATACATCTTTTTTAAAAATTTGAATGACCATCTGGTAATGCCTATTTATAGACATTATGTAGCCCCGCCCCTTTTCAGCACTGCGCTCGTTGTCTTTTGACTTCCGGTCTGTATTTTCACAGCGATCTTGCATAGGTATGAATGAACTGCTCATAAAAAAATTCCCGGTCGACATTTGTTAAGACATCCGCTTTACAATGCTCATGATAAACATTACAATGCTCATGATAACTTTTGTTAACTCTACAATAAGTAAATCCACTTCATCAGCTAATTACTCCTCGACAGCGATGCCATAGAAATATAAAGAGCGACCGCAAAAACGGAAGTTCAAAGACAATATTCTAAAGATGACGGCGCCCACAGTCGTCAAATCCACTGAATTTGATTGCAGATGCGGCCATCAACAACAATACGTATTGAAAGTGTATTCTCTTCCCTTTTAAAATATGATAGGACTAGTTATTTTTTCTATGGTAAAGTTTCATTATATCATTTGCATTTAGCACTTTTTCCCCCACTGTCCGGGACTCCATCGGAAAAGACCTGCAACCAATTTTTGGCCAAGACCCACCAGTTGAGAATAACTGGTGCAGATCAACTGGGTCAAACGGTGCAAGAGAAACAGCAAGAGAGGGTTCTGGAAAAAAGAGTTTCCAATTGAGAGTGGAACAACCAGAGCGCTGGGAAAAAAAACTGAGAGAAGGCCATAAGATATCTCATAAACTACTATATTCACTTGAGCATCATCTATAGGGAACTCATAACAGCATTTCTAGAAAAGTAAGGCATTATCCAACACCTATAGGGCAGACGCTCTCTAAAATCTCAGACTAATTTTAGACTGTAATGTCTCACCGGCAGGCTGGACGGGCGGTCCTGTTGTGTAAGGCCCATGTCATCGTGGTTTGGTTTCCCAGACTGGACCCTGTTGCCATATCCCTCCTGCAGAGTGTCCTATGGAGAAAAACAGAGAAAATGAGAAAGAGGGAAAGACTGATGTAAAAATAAAGAAGAAACATGCAGCCACTGAAGGGCTCAGACAGCCCAGAGAGTCTATGTTGTGGTTTTTTACACCAATAGGCCTTTATTCACATGGAAGACAGCGTGATGGTGACGCCATCCCATAATTGTGCTTCATCCACAGACTCTGATTCACGCGAGCAGAACGGCTGTTCATGCAGAAATGCTGAGGCATGTCTGACGGCTAAAAAGCAGACTGATTATCAACCATAAATTATGCAATCTGCATACGGGATCAAAAAAAATTAATTTAACTATTTGCTGGCCTATTTATGTTTGGCTGAGTGTCCAGATAAAAGAACTGGATAATAGTTCTGTGTGACGGGACTGTACCAAACTGCAAGAAAGATGTCGAAACTCGCTTCCTGACACAATCTTTGTACATTCAGAATCATATTTACATTTGTACTGTTTTAATTGTTAAATAATTATTTGAATCTGTGGGATAAGTACGTTTTTGTAATGTTTTTGAATGAAGCCTCTTAAGGCCAATTTACCTCGCACAGACACGTTTGTTTGGTTTTGTCAGATCAGTGTGTTACCCGGCCGGCGTCTGTTGGTGTTGGTGGGGGTTTGTTTTCACCCAACTGAACATGTTCAATCAGTGTTTGTCGGGGCACTTTGAACATCACGCTAATATCTAACGGCCAACTTTTTTGTTGGTATTTGTTGCCGTTTGTCTGTGCAGTGTGATTTAGCCTTTATGCTCACCAAGGCTGGATTCATTAAAACAAAAATACAGTATAAGTTAAAATAAGTCAATTTGAACACTGTCGGCAGCCATTACTTCAGTCTTCAGTGTCACATGATGCATTAGAAATTCCAATTGCTGATTTGGTGTTTAAGAATCATCATTATCAAAGTACACTCACTAAAAGGATCATTACGATCACCTGGTCAATTTCTCATTAATGCAATTATCTAATCAACCAATCACATGGCAGTTGGTTTAATCCATTTGGGGGTGTGATCCTGGTCAAAACAATCTCCTGAACTCCAAACTGAATATCAGAATGGGAAAAAAAGGTGATTTAAGCAATTTTGAGCGTGGGATGGTTGTTGGTGCCAGACGGGCCGGTCTGAGTATTTCACAATCTGCTCAGTTACTGGGATTTTCACGCACAACCATTTCTAGGGTTTACAAAGAATGGTGTGAAAAGGGAAAAACGCCCAGTATGCGGCAGTCCTGTGGGCGAAAATACCTTGTTGATGCTAGAGGTCAGAGGAGAATGGGCCGACTGATTCAAGCTGATAGAAGAGCAACTTTGACTGAAATAACCACTCGTTACAACCGAGGTGTGCAGCAAAGCATTTGTGAAGCCACAACACGCACAACCTTGAGGCGGATGGGCTACAACAGCAGAAGACCCCACCGGGTACCACTCATCTCCACTACAAATAGGAAAAAGAGGCTACAATTTGCAAGAGCTCACCAAAATTGGACAGTTGAAGACTGGAAAAATGTTGCCTGGTCTGATGAGTCTCGATTTCTGTTGAGACATTCAGATGGTAGAGTCAGAATTTGGCGTAAACAGAATGAGAACATGGATCCATCATGCCTTGTTACCACTGTGCAGGCTGGTGGTGGTGGTGTAATGGTGTGGGGGATGTTTTCTTGGCACACTTTAGGCCCCTTAGTGCCAATTGGGCATCGTTTAAATGCCACGGCCTACCTGAGCATTGTTTCTGATCATGTCCATCCCTTTATGGCCACCATGTCCCCATCCTCTGATGGCTACTTCCAGCAGGATAATGCACCATGTCACAAAGCTCGATTAATTTCAAATTGGTTTCTTAAACATGACAATGAGTTCACTGTACTAAAATGGCCCCCACAGTCACCAGATTTCAACCCAATAGAGCATCTTTGGGATGTGGTGGAACGGGAGCTTCGTGCCCTGGATGTGCATCCCACAAATCTCCATCATCTGCAAGATGCTATCCTATCAATATGGGCCAACATTTCTAAAGAATGCTTTCAGCATCTTGTTGAATCAATGCCACGTATTGTGGAAACCGCACAAAAACTATTTTCAGGTTTCTTTGATAAATAGAATGTTTTAAAATAATGTATTACAAATATAAAGTGTCACTTTTAATCAATTCTATGTATACTTGCCAAATAAAAGCATATATTTTATTAAAACTAAATCAGTAATGTATATTTTCACACATCCATAGTCCATACATATTCATATTTGTTAAGTCACTCGATTTAAAATAAAATAACGAATTAATTACACCTTTTTTTAAATATGTTTTTATATTGTAATACTTTCACATTAAATCTTCACACTATCGGGTCAATCCGGTACCCGCTGATTCAAACACTTCCATGCGTATTTGTGTGAGAGATCTGTGAAGAGCATCAAAGGTTTCTATTTACAACGTGCTTTTGCAGCATGAAGAACTGTAGCCTATCACAGACATGTAGAGAGTCAGAATCAGAGTTTGATCAGAATGAGCTCTCCACACTTACAAATCACTTCGTTATAACCAACTAAGCGTAAAAACGATGTAAATAAGAGATTCATTATGCAGTTGCTTAATGGTGTGAGATTCGCAGCAGAGTCATTACATCGTGGACTCGTGGGAAGACCACAAGTGTTTAGGGTGCCATTTGTGATAGGGCATGTGTTAGTCAAATTTTAGTGAGGAATTCGCAACTAAATGTCACAACAACATAAAAAGAAACAAATAAAAATCTGCTTTTGTGTTCCACAGAATAAGAAAAAAACATACAGGTCTGAACCATCCCTTTTTTGCAGCAATATCCCAATAACACTATGGGTATCAAGCCAAAAGAAAATTAATTACAGCATCTTTTCTGTAAGTGGATACTCGACTTCCCTCAGCAAATACACTTCAGAAAAGGAAAACTGGAGAGAATTTTGAAAGTGTGGCAACTAAGGTTGCCCTGCCCGCAATTCACTCATGTATACAAACATCACCCAGAACTCCCTTCCGCTCACTTCATTCAACTGTGGGAAAAAAACACTGGGCCAAAAAAAAGGGGGCATTCCCGAGCCAGACGGAGCTGTGTGTGTGTGTGTATTGACTCTGGGTCATGGCCAGGCCACACACACAGACGGCTGTTTACAGTTGGGCCATTACATCAGCGCTCAGGCATGTGCTGATTCAGAACCGTAACAGCTGCTCCACTACGATAATGGACGGAGACACCTCCGATATTCACAGCAGAACAATGCGATACCTCCCGAGTGACACGCTTTTCCTCTCAAATACTCAAAATTCACTTTCGCCATGCTGTGTAAGGCTGTCAATACAAATACTGGGTAATTTTACTACACGTGATATAACGATTTCAATACCACCGCACAAAATGAATGTGTCTGTTAAAGACACTCCTTTATTTATTAAAGTTAAATATTAACATATGTTAATTAAAGTCCCCCTGTGGTGGTACTATGTGAACTGCAGTCTCAAAAACCATGGTTTAAAATCACTGGTGTTTCTGACGTCACAAACTACCTTGTAACAAATCAGGTCAACGTCTGATCGTCAACGAGTGGATTGCGGGGCTCATTTGCATATTCATAGAACCACATATACTAAATGAGGCAAGGGTGTAGAGTTACATTCAAGCTATTTTAAAGCCTGAAAGGCCTTTTTTAGGGAAAAAAAATGTTTAAATATGTAATTTTGGTGAAGATGAGTTAAGCGATAAATATATTGACTACAAGGGGACTTTAAATTTCAGTTTAAAAATTACACTTAACTTTCAGCCGTTTGAAATGTGACTGTGCTAAATTCAGATGTAAACATTACAAGGGTCCAAAACGTTATGAAATTTGCCCTCTTTAATCACAAAATCAAAAACACGCGACCAGACTGCATTTTACCGGAACAAATTGATTGGAGAAGTCCGTCATATACTGTATGTCACCGAAGATCTGTTGTTTTCACTGGAAACTCGAGCTGTGCAAATCTGACTAAACATCACAATGTATATTTAAAACGAAACAACAAACAAAAATGCATGAATGAATTGTTCACAGTAAGATCTACAAAATATACAGAGTGAAAATTCATATTATGCTGACTATCCTCATTATATTTTATAGAAGGATGTATTTGCTTAGTAAAATAAATACCATTTTAATAATAATAATGATAGAGTAAACAATGTTTATTTGTAATGTAGTTTGTCTGGCTAATTGAAGACCTCCATTGCTTTTTATGGATGTTTGATGGGCTTAAAAATACATCTTTTTTAAAAACATCAATGGAGAAGCTCCAATTGCCTGAGGAAAGAGTTTTGAGGTCAATCGTTCTGATTCGAGTCAGAGCTCGATTTTATTTCTTCGTTTCTTTCTGTTTTCTCTCAACCGAAGGGCCGTGCTGAACGAGACGTGTTTACACAGGGTGTGTCTAGATGAAAACGTCGCTGTAAGAAGACAAATGCATCTGAGACTCGTAAAACTCAACATGTCCATGAAAACATCAAATCCGTCTCTTTATGGTTTTTGGAGTCCCTTGTGCCTCCACGGTTTCAGCGCAATGATTAACGGATCGTTCTTTGAGCTACAGATAAAACGAAAAACATCCCTTCAGTGTGATTAATGCCCTATTGTAATGGCTTGTCTGAAATTGCATCATGCCTGCACAGTTTTGATGTTTAGTCGGCGCGTGAGGGACATAATGTCTCTTTAAAAGACGCCATGAAACCTAAATTGACAGTATTTACGTTCTTAATAAATGTCCCTTGTCGTATTGTGCCTGATTGATCAGTCCATGTTTCGGTAAAGAGGATGGAAAAAACATTTTTTTTATATAATCTTTCATTAAAACGTAATGGCTTTCTCACAACCAGAAATTGTTTTTATGCTGATTGTCACCAAGTCCATACGGGCAGGGAACAATAAAATTAACCAATGATATCATAGTAAGCCAATAGTGAGGCAATCAAATCT